TAAATCGTCAGTTGTATCCTCTGATTTTTGTCTGTAAAAACTGTCTTTTGTCTTTTGTACAGACAAAAATCAGAGGATACAACTGACGATTTACCATAAAACCAGAAAAACGGCCAGCCTACTCATGAGAAACTCTCCAGACACAAAACAGAACGCTTTAAAAGAGACTAACGTCGTCTATGCCTTCAAATGCCCTCTTGGGGACTGTAAGCTCCAAAAAACCCAGTATATAGGCAAAACAACAACATCTCTTTCTAGGCGTTTAACGATGCATAAACAACAGGGCTCCATTAAGGAACATATAATCTCTTCCCACAACCAAACCATCGCCAGAGAAATCCTAGTAAACAACACAGAAATCATCGATAGATACAGCGATAGCAGGCGGCTTGACGTTTGCGAGGCACTACACATCAAGAAGTCAACACCAGCAATCAACAGCCAATTATTGCGAAACTATATTCTACCCACCTCAAGACTCCGCTCCAATATAGAAGCATCAAGAAATATGGACCAATAGGCTTTCTACAAACACTTCTATTCAATATCCATTGTTTCGTGTTCTGTCTTGTGTTGATGAAATTAATACCCTATTAATACCCTTGTTCTGTCTTGTGTTGATGAAATTAATACCCTATTAATACCATATCTTGTTCTGTCTTGTGTTAATGCCACATCACCCCTTCCACCTCACTCAAATGTAGATATAAAATCGGAGATGCGTAAGTTCTATTCAGTTGTGTATTTGTGAACTAAAGTCTTTGAAAATGTAATAAGTTTTACGAAACGCGCTCGTGTCGCGTCAGACTAGAAATAAAAATGAATTTTGGAGAATTGATTTTTGATTTACCTCCAACAGTGAAACGAAATGTACGAAAGATTGAGAAAATTCGTGTTAGAATTATTAATCTTACTTTTTCGGTCATATTTAATAATAATAATAATATATATATATATATATATATATATATATATATATATATATATATATATATATATATATATATATATATATATATATATATATTATATATATATATTATATATATATATATCGTACCTAGTAGCCAGAACTCACTTCTCGGCCTACTATGCAGGGCCCGATTTGCCTTATAGGCCGAGTGATTTTCTTGATTTTCAATAAATTGTTTCCAATTAATTTATTTGATTATTATTATATTATATTAAGACCATCATTTAGTGACTTAATTGTGTTAGTTTAGGTTAGGTTAACCTAGGTTAGGTAGGGTTGGTTAGGTTCGGTCATATATCTTCGTTAGTTTTAACTCAAATTTAAACAAATTAACTTATACATAATGAAATGGACAGATTTATCATTTCATAAGAAAAAAATTAGAATTTTACAAACATATGATTACAAACACAGTAACTTAATCATTATCGTAGCAATGAGTAAGTTTTCATTGGCGGGTCTTCCGTAAAAATAATTTTAGTTCTAACCTTCTACATCATCACATATAACAACAGTCCCGAATGCTCGGATGGAAAGAATTAGTCAACAAAAGGCAGTTGAGCCGCTACCATGTCAACATCTCCCACAAAACAACTGCAGAAGCATATAGAATATCAAGTCTTGGTGATATACAAGTTAATGATGATAAACATGATGAATAAGTTCGTGATAAACATGAGTAAATTTAAATCCGTAACATATTTTGTATTTATTGAGCATTTTTTAGTATTGTTCTGCTCCATAGCCACTCTTTGGTTTGTTTCATACATTGCTACAACGTTGGAAAAATTATTTGAAAATTATTATATATATATCAAAAGGTAAAACTGTAAATCAGAATTAATAATAGAGGCGGTGTACCTGTGTTTCTCTTGTAGTGTGTGAGGGTGGCTGGGCTTCCTGTGTTGGTGGGTACTGTACGTGGTGTCGCTGCAAGGTCATGCGTGCATCCTTAATGGGCGCTGGAGCAGCACTGACCCCGCTGGCGGCCTCCCGCCAACACTCGCACGCTCTCTTACGTCACAACAGTTGACGTACTGCACAGATTTCAGATTTATTTATTATGAACGCCAAAAAGAGATCCTCGCTGCCTGCTTTCACAAGACGTGTCTTTATCATCCCTGTTGCTATAGTTGGTTATTACGTCTAAATTGTCCCAGAAACTGCAAAAAGTGACGATTGCTTTCACATTTTTATCTGAAATTTAAATTGCTCTTCTCTAGTGTCTGTGATGGCTAAGACAATTTTATTGCTTTCTTGCGGTCGGTCATCTTGTATATTACTGTTTAAAGCAAATCGTTAAAGTAACTGAATCTTACGGCTTTGTTGTTTGAGGTTTTGAGTTATACTATAACGACTCCCTCACACACCCACCTTGGTGTGTGGGAGGGTACTTAACATCCTTGTACTAGGATTTCAGCCCAGTAACAACATTCATCCTCGTCTAATGTGAGCGTTATTTCCCTCTCAGATCCTTATGGATTGACACAGAATTCATTTAAAGTTACAAGGCAAACGAGAATTTATTTTGGGGGTAATAATACATATCCCGGATGTTGTGATACCGGTTTATATTAAACAAGATTCCAATGTGGCGAGGAAGGGACTGCTCAAGAGTTAGGTGGGGATGACGTCCCCATTGCCAATCAGGAGAGGTTGGACCTCTCAACTAACCTTAAATGTACTGGAAGGAGGTTAGCATTAGGCTAATCTCCCTCCAGCATATATAAATTTGCATATGAGATTTTCAAGGGGTGTCTTGAATTGTTTGAGTAATGGCACGTGGTATGCAAATATACCTGTCTCCGGAAGTAGCTATTGAGTAATTAAGAGTTTGAGTAATATTATTGTAGGACACCATATTGATGATCGGGTTTGGGGAGTTCTGAAACTGTCAACACAGCCTCTGACACGCGAGCACTGTTGTCACTTGTTGCATAACTTGAAGCTTACCTCGGTCTGTATGCCTGAATGGGATAAATATGGAATCATGTTGACTTTCGTTTTTTATGTAATCTGGAATTGCCTTTATGTGATTGCCTTAATAGTATTTAGTGAATCTGCAAAGTTATGGTCAGGAGTAAAGCCTATTGAAGCAGACTTAAGAAATGTGGCAACAGCTCTAGCAGAGATATTGAGCCGAGAATCCACATAGGATTCACATAGTGAATCCTATGTACGGATGGGGTAACCCATCAACGTGACTGTCGACGGAATAGGAGATTGAAAGATGAAGAGCGACGGACCGAGTCCCGTTCGAGACCCCACGCCACCGGCCAGACATAGCAAAATGAAAAGAATGAACTACTGGACAATTCATTCGGAGGGACACCACTGCCTCATACTTACGTTAGTAGCGACGAAGCAGCCCCTCCGAAAACTCGAAGGGTACTCCATGAAGCGCTACATCTTGATAAACAACCGAGGAGCTGAACTTCACAAGCGCGCGATGGGTCGTGAGGAGCTGCACCCCACAGACATCCGCCACATTCACCCGGAGCATATCCAGGATTACCACTTCCACAGCGAGGTACGACGCCCTGCCTGAGAATTCGAGGATAACCGTCTCCTTACGGCGGATTGGGGGAAGGAGGAGGAGGGGTCCCAATGACGCCAAATACAAACAGCCAGAGGGCCGCGCCCCCGGCCCAGACACTGCAACAGCCGGGTCAACACTGGGAGCAGGGCGCAACACACACCCGGGTCAACACTGGGAGCAGGGCGCCACACACAGCCGGGTCAACACTGGGAGCAGGGCGCAACACACACCCGGGTCAACACTGGGAGCAGGGCGCCACACACAGCCGGGTCAACACTGGGAGCAGGGCGCAACACACACCCGGGTCAACACTGGGAGCAGGGCGCCACACACAGCCGGGTCAACACTGGGAGCAGGGCGCAACACACACCCTCACCCAACGACCTCTGGTGGCCGACAACACAGTCTGCCCCGCGAGCAGTGTTGTCACTTGTCGCATGACTTAAAGCTTACCTCGGTCTGTATGCCTGAATGGGATAAATATTGAGTCATGTTGACTTGTATTAAAGCAGGCTGTTAAGAAATATGGCAACACCTTGAGCAGGGATATTGAGCTGAGAATCCACATAACAGTTTGTACCTCATTTAAGCCACATTGTTGAATCCAACTATTTGTTGCTACTGCTGTCTCCAAGAATTAATTGTTTTAACATAAATTTATTACTGACAGATAGGTTAGATTGTTTGTATTGCAAACATTGCATTGCACTGTTGCACGTTCACCGTGTTGAGTTGTTGCAAGCATAGTGTACTGTATTGTTGCAAGTCTGCTACACTATTCTCAAAAGATTTGACCACATCATATGTAATTAGATTTAATCCCTATCAAATCATTGTGATTAATTCAATTTCTTTCTTCTATTCCAACAACGTACATGGATGACAATATTTTATTTCCCAAATATGAAACTTCTTTATAAAATATGAGAAAGCTTTTCAAGTTTATTAAAATACAGAATCAGTTTGTAAATACACTCAAGAGGGTGAAGGAACCGGAGAGGATAGACAATAGTTTAGAAGGATGTAACGTAATATACTTTATTTACACTTAGGGAGACTTACAGTCTTCCTAAGTGCAAGGAGCAAGTCAAAATACCGGGGCTGAACATCAGATTCCCAACCCACACATCTGTAAATAGAGGAAGTGTCGTTTCGGTCCGTCCTGGACCTAAATTTTATTTGATAATGATCCATCATGGACCAAAACGTATTCACTTCCTTTAATCTCCATAATTAATCGAGAGAAAATGTATATATATCTTAGGATAACTGTATGTCATCCAGTTACACTTCTCTTGGGCGTCTCCCACGGCGCTGTTACATTTCTTGTTAACCTGTCCACTGACTTGGTCGTTATTGCATGGGTGACATGTATAGTGACCTTGTGTATAGTGACCTCATGTCCCCCTCACCACAATGTAAGGGGGGGGGTGTGGGGGTCATCCGGTGACTTTAACTGTATGCAGGAGAGTAAATGACACACACAACATTGTTCCAGGTCCTCTTTATTATGTACAATATAAAAATAGATTCTGGGCTCGAGGATGATGGAGCACATCTCAGACCTTCATGTGCTAACCCTCAAGGGGGAGAGGGGTCTCACCCTCAAGGGAGAGGGGGTCTCACCCTCAAGGGGAAGAGGGGTCTCACCCTCTAGGGGGGAGGGTGGGTCAATGGTTTACAGTTGTACAATAATGGGTGTGTGGTTTACACTGACAAAATTGTCTCAAAACCGACCTCTCGCTGACTTGTTAATGGTATTATCATTCTCATAAAGGTTACTGACTTAGCTCAACCTCATTCCCTTAGACCACATAGACTATCAAAAAATAATTATTTGGTTAGTAGGTTTCCAGCCTCTTAAAAAAGTGGCAGAAATTATATTATTTATTTATTTTCCGCATGAAAAATGTCTCAGGCTCAGCAAATCCAAATATGTACTTATAATGCTTCCCTCTTGACAAGCGGTCATAACTGTCAATCATTACTCAAATGTTGTAACTGTCAATAATTATTCACATGTCATAACTGTCAATCATTACTCTCTCATTAACGTGTGGACAGGTGAGCTTGAGAGGTGGTAGAGACTTAGGACTTAAGAAAGTCGCTTAAATTGTGAGAAATTTATCTCGAACTACACAAACATATTTTAAGACGATTAAGTTCATAAATCTTGTGACTGATAAAACAGACACAATGTAAGTATTAAGCGAAGTTCTTGAAATCCCGGGGATGGTTAGCTCCGGGAACACCAGCGACCCTGGCGGTAGTTAGAACTACCTGCTGGGTGCTGCAGGGGACGCGCTGCTTCATACCACAGCCAGGTACCCATCTTCAGGTACCCGCGGCCAGGTACCCACCTTCAGGTACCTGTGGCCAGGTACACACACCAGACTTTCACTCAACGCTTGATGCCAATGTCACGCACCAAGTAACTGCTGTTTAAAAGCCGTATGCAAGAAATCTTACCTAATTTGGCCTTTGGTGTGTGTGTGTGTGTGTGTGTGTGTGTGTGTGTGTGTGTGTGTGTGTGTGTGTGTGTGTGTGTGTGTGTGTGTGTGTGTGTGTCACTACAAGATATTATATACATACATATATATATTTTAGAAAATACTATATTACAGTCAATTTTACATGGTATTCTCAGAGTACCAATATTTCAGGTAATTAACCTTAAAGTAACATTTATCATCTCAATGTATCACAGTGTGGGGAGAACCCTGACGTTCTCCCGCACCTGGAGGCTTCCCACAGCTAACTATCTTGGAAGTTAGTAGCAGCCATTTGCAAGGTTGAATACATTCACTTATTGTCTTAGGTTGTTTGTGTGTTTGGGTCCACATTTCCTGGCAGGAATATGTCTGCCATTGGCCGCTCCGGAGACTCTACCAGCCGAGGAAACGCTTGACTTTCCCGGGCTGGTGTGGGTGGGGAGGGGGTTGGGGGGGAGGTCAGGTGGCGGGGCAGGAGGAGTCCAGAGGCGGGAGAGGACTGTACGCCTCAGGGCGGCCGACGGTTAAAAAGGGTCCACGCTGAGGCGTTTCCAGGTACAGAGGTGGGATGTGGGACGAAGAAAGCAACTGGGGATGAAGCTGTGTCGCAGGAACTTTGAGGAACGGATGATGAGAGTGTGCGTGTTGCGAGGAAAAAATCTCGGATTTAGAGAGTTCGGGGGAAGGAATCTGACGAGGAGACAGTTGAGGAGAAGAAGGAGCAGGCGAGAGACTATAATGGAGAGAGGAATCAACAGAACCATCTTCTGGAGTCGGGATATGGTGAGAATGTTCAGGAGAGACTGTGGATGGACCGTCATCAGATGAAGAGTTTTGACTGGGAGATTGTGGAATCAGAGAGCGTTGAGGAGAAGGCTCTTGAGAAGCAGAAGAGTCCTGTGAAGGGGGACTCTCGTGAGAAGATAGTTGAGAGGAAGATGTATGGTCTTCTGGACACATATCTTGGTTAGAAAGATTATCTCTCGGAGAAACGCTTTGGCAAGGAGACTGTTGAGAAGAGTACTGGGGGCCATGTTCGTCGTGAGAAGAACTAAGATTAGGAGTCAAGTCAGGAGGAGGAGGAGGAGGTAGCTGCTGGGCTGGAAGCTGATGAGGAACAGGGTAAGCATACTCGCGAGCGGACGGGAGCGCTTCGCTATAGTCAACCTCGGGAAAGGAAGGAAACACCACAGGAAGAAGCTCGGACTGTACGTTCAAGGACGGGATCTGAGAGCGAGGCTGGGATGCTGAGCTACCACCAGCGTCAGGGGGAGGGAGGGGAGGGAGAGTCGCCGGAGCGGCGGCTAATTGTCAGCATGATCCATCAGAGTCCGGGTGGTGGGAGAGCTCCTGGTGCCGCCGCCACAAGTTCTGCAAGGCAACACAACAAAGACGTGAAACTGCACAGCAAAAATTTCACACACAATACACGAGGAAGCTTGCTGGGGGGATGAACATAAGATAACAAATCCAGACAAATGGCTAGCAAGATAGAAGAACTTTTATTAATTTATATATTTATATGCAAGAAGGTACATTGGGTTTGTGAAGATATATAGCATGGTATTTACATTCTTGTAAAGCCGCTAGTACGCACAGCGTTTCGGGCAGGTCCTAAATCTAACAGATAATTTTAAGTAGGTAAATTCTAGCAGAATTTATAAGATGATAACAGGTACATTGTAAACTAAGATAAACCTGACACAAACTCACTTGACGGAGAGAGGAGAGACTCTTGAGGATGACCCACTTATCAGGGGAGACTAGAGGCTCAGAGAGCGACCTGGGCTCACCCGAGGACCTCCTGCCGGACTCGTACCCAGAGGAGGTGACGCTCACGGTGCGGACGTCTTCATCCTGGCCGGAGGTGGCGCTCCCAGGCCGCGACGACACACCTGCAAGAGCGGAAATAACACCATCATGCAGAAAGGAGCGTCTCCTGGGCACCGTGTGGCCAGGGTAGAGGGGACAAGACCGCCACAGTGAAGGAGGAGAGAAAGTCTTGTGCTTCATCACCAAAGGATACCTGATCAACCAGGCTGATTCATACGTCAGGCTGCGAGCAGCCGCGTCAAACAGCCTGGTTGACCAGTCCAGCAACAAGGAAGCCTGGTCGACGACCGGGCTCCGGGGACGCTAAGCCCCGGAAACACTTCAAGGTAACTTCATCTAGTAGGGGAGGAGGAGACGAAGTGTGTCGTCGTAATGGTCGAGCTGGGAGAATCCCGGGCGCTCTGTCTGGGCCAAAATGTTGTGAACATTGAGCGCAATTGCTAAAACGTCACCCTCCAGCTGCTGCTCTGTTAGAACAATTAGTGCACCATGTCCCGAATTTTGGGAACCATAAACATACAATCATTTCATTGCAAAAGAGTTAATAATATGGATTTTTTTTGTTAATCTGTTCCAGAGCCTAAATTGGAAATACCGAATTTCACATTAATTTAAATTTGATATCGATCTCCATCCGAAACTTTGTATCAGTAAGATATAGTATATATTTTATTACATTTACTTACAGTTGACAGAAAAGACACATATATATATATATATATATATATATATATATATATATATATATATATATATATATATATATATATATATAAGACCACGGTAGTGGGTGTCTAGGGGAGGACACTGAAGGTGACTGGCACCAAGGGGGGGTAACAGGACACACATAGTAATGATACTTGAAGAGAAGGAAGAGTCCTACAAGTCACGAACTGTGTGTCAAGATAATGATTCACAGGAGTGCCTACAGCCTCTACTTGCCCCCCGTAGTTATAGGAAAAGCTTAGTACAATATAGCTATGAATAATGCTCTGATACGTTCACTACACAGCAAAGTAAACCATAAGCAAATATCAAACTGGTTAAAATGTATAATGAAGGCCAAATTAAGTTGTAAAACTATCTAACGAAATTCTACACCGGTTTATATCACATTACAGAACCATCGTTGTTTTTGTAAGAAAGTGAATGACAAGATAATTAGAGGTGGACCATTATGCTGCTCGAGTGTTTCTTGTTCACGATGAACTCTTTACCTGAAAGCAAAAGACCAAAACACAGGTATCGATCGTGTGCCAGGATACTTGAGGGGACTGGACTATGATGACCAGACCACACACTAGAAGGTGAAGGGACGACGACGTTTCGGTCCGTCCTGGACCATTCTCAAGTCGATTGAGAATGGTCCAGGACGGACCGAAACGTCGTCGTCCCTTCACATTCTAGTGTGTGGTCTGGTCATCATACTTTAGCCACGTTATTGTGACTCATCGCCTGCGACTGGACTATTGTGCCTCACACTGTATCACACGAGTGACCAGTGTAGAGTGAACCAGGAGAAAAGTGTTACAGCTTGGATCACCTTTATATATGTGAGAGGAGATTGTGTGGCCACTTGGGCTAGGAATGAGGTCCGGAGGCGAGCAGATTAAACTGTCGTGAAGGGGGTGGAAACAACCGTCAACAGTACAGACCTTAGACGACCATAATGTCTTGACAGTGGCATGAAGTTGTTCCAAGATATCCCCAGGGCTACCAACATGAGACATTGTACACCTTTGTCTATGGCAGTATACAGGTGCTCATGGCTCCATCCTGGTTGTGACCACTTCCTCCTCTCCACTACCCTCTATTATAACTTTTTGAACCTCATGCCATTGAGTTAATGCTACAAGTTAAGCCTACAGGTTATGCTTACAGTAGGGTCACAGTGTGCTGTAGCCTACAGATTATGCCTAAAGTAGGGTGACAGGTAATATGTGTGCTGTAGCCTACAGGTTATGCCTACAGTAGGGCAACAGTATGTGTGCTGTAGCCTACAGGTTATGCCTACAGTAGGGTCACAGTATGTGTGCTGTAGCCTACAGGTTATGCCTACAGTAGGGTCACAGTATGTGTGCTGTAGCCTACAGGTTATGCCTACAGTAGGGTGACAGGTAGTGTATGCCGCTTGTACCATCTACGGGGCGTGTGTACAGTAGAGAGCCTACTACTGTGTACCTCAGTGTCTACAAGCCATGTCTCCTGTAGCACTGAAGACCATATATGCCAATGCTACAGTCTAGGTCCCCATCATCACACCACATAACGACAACCTTCCTGCCTTGTTACAACGTTGTAACAACGTGAAAGATAACAAATAATGCAGTGTGTAAATATCCAAGCGTAACGTTAAATAAACGTGGATAACGTTGATTCACCGTTGAATTAACGTTACTCTTGGAGATTGTCCCCCACTGGGAAAGTTGTGGTTAGGTTGTGCATGGGCCTGGAGAGCTACGTGTCGCGTAGTGTGAGAGAGAGAGGGCAGTGCGCGCGCTGATGCTATCCTCTACAGCCAGCTAAATACTAGGTGGTAGAGTGCTAGCTACCGGCTGCCGCCTCCTCCACATGGATGATCCTGGGGCGCCATCCACCCTCGCCTCCTGCATCAGCAGGTCGGTAAAAATGGGGATCAGTGGCGGGCATTTTAAGTCACTAAGGACAGTCCTACTTACGTTATTGTGAAGTAAACCAAAGTTTAAAGGCAAAAATATATCAACTTGAGAACATATATACATGAAAGGAATACTTTGAAAAAACATGAAAGTAATACTTTGAAAATACATTAAAGGAATACTTTGAAAACACATGAAAGGAATACTTTAAAAATACATGAAAGAAATACTTATAAGAAATAATAAGAAAGTTGAAAAAAATAGAAGATTAATATAATGTAAGGAATGGCAAGATGAAGCCAAAGAAAATTTTGTTTAATTAATAAATGTAAAATTTGAGAAAAAATCGTCCAAATGTCTTTTCCAAATTGCTTTAAGAAAATACCTAAAAAGTTTTGAGCAAGTAATAACACATAAATTTAGTAGTAATTAATGTAACTGAAAGTTGCTGTGAGGTGTTGTTACATAAAGGTTAATGTTAATATATATTTTCACTCTTGCTATCTCTCCAGGCCCCCTCCTCCCATCTCTCTCACTCTCACTCTCTCTCTCTCACTCTCTCTCTCTCTCTCTCTCTCTCTCTCTCTCTCTCTCTCTCTCTCTCTCTCTCTCTCTCTCTCTCTCTCTCTCTCAGCCATACCCTACTACTTTTTACACACAGGAGGGTACAGGAGCAGACGACTGCTGACTCTTGTTAGCAGGCTGAGAGCTTTCCCTTCCCATAGCTCATGGTAAGCCTTACCCTACTAGTTTTACACACAGGTGGGTACAGGAGCAGACGACTGCTGACTCTTGTTAGCAGGATGAGAGCTTTCCCTTCCCATAGCTCATGGTAAGCCTTACCCTACTAGTTTTCCCTGGAACTGTCCATGCAGTCTCTATACTGTCCCTATGTTCACCTCTCCTGTACTTCACCCTCATAATTCGATCACCAATCCACTTCTTGTAACACAATCACCAGTCCACTCCTAGTGATCTCTTGTGCAAGTAATGAGAGCCCCTGCCCCAGGGTGGGTGAGGGTGTGGTGGGAGGAGACGTACCTGAAGTAGCAGCCGAAGGCGGGGAGGCGGTGGGCGAAGATGTTGGCTGGAGTCTGGGTGATTCCGGAGTCTCAACGGGCGTCAGCTGCCGCTCCAAACCTGCCAGACAAACCATCACTTCAGACGAGAGAGAGAGAGAGAGCTTGACCAGCAAGGCCGAAGCAACTGACAGATATTGAGACAACAGATAACTGGACATAGCACAAGTACTTCACATCAAACACATTCAATTATCAACAGCCAGCTCATATAACGTGTCTGTGTTACCCGTACAACAACAGGTAGAGAAGTGGCAGTTCATGCTGAACACACCAAGATTGATTGATTGATAAAGATTACGCCACCCAAAAGGTGGCACGGGCATGAATAGCCCGTAAGTGGTGGCCCTTTTGAGCCATTACCAGTATCAAGAGCTGATACTGGAGATCTGTGGAGGTGTGACTGCACCCTGCGTGACGGGAGATGTCTCCCATGGAACACACCAACCTAGGCGACCGGTACAATATGCAGGTAGGCTGACACCTCTCTTGTCAGCAGACCTTCCTCGATTATATGTTGCTTTAATGCTCGCTTTGTATTTGGTGTATTTTTGTATGGGTACACCTGGCCAGCCAGGCTTGTGTGGGTACACCTGGCCAGCCAGGCTTGTGTGGGTACACCTGGCCAGCCAGGCTTGTGTGGGTACACCTGGCCAGCCAGGCTTATGTGGGTACACCTGGCCAGCCAAGCTTGTGTGGGTACACCTGGCCAGCCAGGCTTGTGTGGGTACACCTGGCCAGCCAGGCTTATGTGGGTACACCTGGCCAGCCAGGCTTGTGTGGGTACACCTGGCCAGCCAGGCTTGTGTGGGTACACCTGGCCAGCCAGGCTTATGTGGGTACACCTGGCCAGCCAGGCTTGTGTGGGTACACCTGGCCAGCCAGGCTTGTGTGGGTACACCTGGCCAGCCAGGCTTATGTGGGTACACCTGGCCAGCCAGGCTTGTGTGGGTACACCTGGCCAGCCAGGCTTATGTGGGTACACCTGGCCAGCCAGGCTTATGTGGGTACACCTAGGCAGCCAGGCTTGTGTGGGTACACCTGGCCAGCCAGGCTTATGTGGGTACACCTGGCCAGCCAGGCTTATGTGGGTACACCTGGCCAGCCAGGCTTGTGTGGGTACACCTGGCCAGCCAGGCTTATGTGGGTACACCTGGCCAGCCAGGCTTATGTGGGTACAACTGGCCAGCCAGGCTTGTGTGGGTACACCTGGCCAGCCAGGCTTGTGTGGGTACACCTGGCCAGCCAGGCTTATGTGGGTACACCTGGCCAGCCAGGCTTGTGTGGGTACACCTGGCCAGCCAGGCTTATGTGGGTACACCTGGCCAGCCAGGCTTGTGTGGGTACACCTGGCCAGCCAGGCTTATGTGGGTACACCTGGCCAGCCAGGCTTATGTGGGTACACCTGGCCAGCCAGGCTTGTGAGAGTACACCCCTGGTCAGCCAGGTAACATCAAGGCACTCACGTGGTTCCATAGCAGGGTGGCCGGATCTGGAGCCGGCCGAGAGTCGCTTGGCCACGGCTGGCACGGGCGGGGAGGTAGGGCGCTGGGCCGAGGATGGCCGAGGAGAGACCAGGTGCTCCTCGCTTCTTGAAGGCGCCATGGGCGGGAGGCGGCGGGGCGTCAGCGGCCGGGAACTGGGCGTAGGAGGCTGGCTGACGCCCCCATCATTGTTCGAGTCTGATGCTATCCGCCCTGTTAAAAGCATTTTACATATACATATCTATACATATATCCACGTACATATAAAGCTATATATTTACACCGTAGAGTGTACCATGGGTGTACACAACAACAAGTGTACCGTGTAGCGAGGTGGATGAGCCAGAGCTTGCTGGTCGGCTGGAGGGGGCGAGACAGGCGGCAGCAGTGAGGGTGTGAGGGGAGGGTGGGCGCGAGGCGTGGGCGGGCAGCTCTGGCAGCGTGGGCGTGGAGTGTGCGCTGTGGAGCCTCTTGACAGCGGCAGGGACGGGCGGGCTGCTGCTGCGGGCGGGGCCACTCGGGGCTGGCGCGAACTCTGGCACGTCGAAGGATGACTCTCCTGAAGAATTTTCAAAGCAAAATTCAATATCAGAAAAATATTCTTCACATGAATACAAAATTGAATAACTTTTATTTATGAAATGGCAAGGGAGATAGAAGGTAATAAGGAAGGATGAGGCGGGACAGACGGTGAAGAATGATGCAGTGGTCCAGTGGGTGAGACACCCCCTTCCACCCTCACCTGTCAGCTTCCTCATGAGGGCCGGGACGGGCGGTGAGGAGGACCGTGGGACAGGCGCCCTCACCATCTCCACGTCGTCATCGTCGTCATCCTCGTCGTGAGGGTCCTCCTCCTTCATGGCCTCGGGCGGAGAGGCGGCCACCTGCGGCACAACACTGGGTATTAGAAATGATCGAGGCCATATGATGGGATCGAACCCTCATCCCTGGGTTCCTTAGTCAGTACTAAGGAACCCAGGGATGTTTATCTCTATTGAGGTCGTGAGGTTTATCTCTATTGGTATTTCTTCGTATCACAAACCTCTCTGATCTGGGACCAATCTGGTGGCATACCTGAGAACTTTCTCTAGATTCTTTGTGGTAGGCATAATAAGAAAAATAAGGAGGTGCTGCACATTCTAGAATTGGTCTGATATATGTGGAATATAAGATTCCGAATGTCTCCTTATTCAGATTTCTTAAGACAAATGCTGTGCAAGCGAGCTGTTGGTGACCTGATAGAGATGTCGGGAGACATTCGGTGAGTGACAAGCCGGGGCTCTTACCTTGGGCGGCTCGGGTGAGTACGGGTGGAGGTGTGACGGAGTGAGTGACGGGGTGAGTGACGGGGTGAGGGAGGGCTTGATGGTGGGCCACTGCTTGATGGACGGGGAGTTCCTGGTGCTACGCCTCCTGTCCCTCGGTGACGGTGACCTGGACGGGTGAGAACATAGTAAGCTTAGTTACTTGAAGTTAATTATGCACCCCCATGCCCGTCCTGTGAGTGGTAGTGGACCCCATACCAGATTACTGCCCTCTATCTATTACCCAATTATATATACTTTAGGCTTACCTCGAGTCCCCCCCCTCACCTCCCACAAGGTGGAACAACTAACCCTCCCCAGGATGCACCCCACGACACTTGCCCTACTCCTAGGTACCTGTTTACTGCTAGGTAAAGAGGCTTTAAGTAAAAGGAAATAAGCCCACCCATTTCTGCCCCATCCGGGAATGGAACCCGGGATCCACAATTGTGAGGCGAGAACGAAGACAACTATAGTATGAGACCTTAGCTCATAGTATTATAATGAGTGCTAATTTCCAACTCTTTCTGCGTGTGAACCAATCGTGGCCACCTTCAGTGGTGGCCATGCACTGTCTGCGTCAACTGACCTCACATACAATTTGGTCATGTGATCACTTCAACCTCATTTTCTAAGACAGTCTCACGACACCATAACCAACGCATCTAGATTCTAGAAGAGTCACTGATCCCTTTAATGGATCAGTGAAGGAAGGTGGATATTGCGAAAGAAAATGTGTGTAAATGAATCAACCTTAAAATTCTCCAAAACACTTCATTGCCAACCTAATACGACATATGACACGACATTAGTGTTCCAGCATCTAGGCAGACCAGGAGTGTTTGCATGCCTCTGAGGGGAGTGGAAGTTAGTACAAGTACGAGAGGCTTTGTAACACAGTCCAGTGTACGCATGCCTCTGAGGGGAGTGGAAGTTAGTACAAGTACGAGAGGCTTTGTAACACAGTCCAGTGTACGCATGCCTCTGAGGGGAGTGGAAGTTAGTACAAGTACGAGAGGCTTTGTAACACAGTCCAGCAGGTGAAGACAAGCGGTGTGAAGGGTAAGACCAGGCACGTTCACATACACCATTTGTAAAGGTTCAACATACCTCTTCTTGGATGTCTACCAAAAGGAAGACATCCTAGGAGTTTACCGAAGGATGTCAAAGGAAAGATTCCACAAAGGAGGCTGACTCCATACAGTTTCAAATGTAGATATGATAGAGCCCAGTAGGCTCAGGAATCTGTTGATTGACAGTTGAAAGGCGGGACCAAAGAGCCAGAGCTCAACCCCCGCAAACACAACTAGGCGAGTACAACTAGGTGAGCACAAAGCCATAATGTAGGTGAGGATGTGAGCGCAGAGACAACTAGAGACAGGAGGAGACCTACCTGGAGATATCAGAAGAGAGAGACTCAGGTGAGGATGTGAGCGCAGAGACAACAGAGACAGGAGGAGACCTACCTGGAGATATCGGAAGAGAGAGACTCCTGACGCGACTTGTCCCAAGTCTTGCGCCGTCGACGGTGAAGGTGGTGTTGGTCGCTGTCCTCCGTGGCGGTGTCCCGCTCCCCCCGGCTCAGCGACCTGCACACGCCAAGGAAAACTAACCTAATTATCAACTCAAAACATTAAGCCAATAACACTATATAATACTTGGGGAGGATATGGCGACGGGGTGAAGGAAGGTGTCCAACTACTTGAATCATCGGGGATCGAACGCCGACCTGCAAGAAGCGCGGTCGTTGCTCTACTATGACCTGGTCAAAGGACACATATCTACATATAATAATACACATATCTACTTGTATATCTAGTATTAGTTTGCTATAATTGGGGAGTGGAAAGCTAACACGTTACTATAAGCCAACTACTCACTCCAGGATGCTGTCCACGACAATTATCTAACCACCTATTTACGTAGTGTATTGTGGCGCCTCTTGTATCCCCTATCTCTCTCTCTCTCTATCCTCTGACTGTACCCTGTCCCTCTGACTGTACCCTGTCCCTCTGACTGTACCCTGTCCCTCTGACTGTACCCTGTCCCTCTGACTGTACCCTGTCCCTCTGACTGTACCCTGTCCCTCTGACTGTACCCTGTCCCTCTGACTGTACCCTGTCCCTCTGACTGTACCCTGTCCCTCTGACTGTACCCTGTCCCTCTGACTGTACCCTGTCCCTCTGACTGTACCCTGTCCCTCTGACTGTACCCTGTCCCTCTGACTGTAATATTGAATATTTCACTCTGCTTGTACCCTTTAAGTTTTAGAAAGTTAATTCGTGTGAAAACAAACTTGAAACAATTATGCCTTTTGTACAGCATTTGTCACTGGCTTTGTTATTGTGTGAATATGTGTAAACCCTGGCAAGAGGAACGTGTGTATTCTCCGTATTCTTTATATAAAATGTTTTGTACCAAAATGTTTTCCTCTTCTGCCCACTATCACATCGCTGGATGCGTTCGGCGTGAGTATATATATTGTTACATTCGTGAACTTATTGAGGACACGAATATAGCTTTTGTAAACCTGATGTATCGACTCATCTTAGGAAGATATGTGATCAAATTCGTGAAGGCTGTGAGTTATCCCTCACTCAAGGCGCCTGTCACTCAACTAATGCCAGGCAGGTCTGCTGCCCTCTATATGAACTTCCAAAGGACTAATATTGTGCAAACTGTTAATATTTATGTCAATCAAAGAACGTTAAATTAGCGAATTTTGGAAGCATTCATTGTATATAAGAAGACCTTCGTCAATATCACGTTCTCTACTGACCAGTCTCGTTACCAGTGCTACACAACATTAAGTCTAACAAGTGCATGAATGAGGCTAATCAATGACTAACTGAATTTCACAATAACATAGATGTAGCGTTTTGAAATCAAGAAGATATGTAAGTATTGAACTCAGTCCGTAAAGACTGAGAGCTGGTCCAAGGATGGATATGACCGAGTTCAAGGTCCTGCTGGTCCTGGCCGGCTGTGTGAAAGGACTTCCATATCGATATTCACTTTTGCCTGACATGCTTGGTGCTGGGGTGAAGAGCGCCGAGGGCCCCTCCACCTCTCCTGCACATGCCGGTAGTGTCAATCGATCCTACACTTGTAATCGTCATACGTGTTGACAGCATGATTGGTAGTGTGGGGGGACTACGTAATCTTACATCCCGGGTTCAATTATTGAGGCTATAAATGGCATCGAACCTGTATCCCTAGAGTCCAGGGATGCGATTTCGAGCCTATTGCATGGCTTCAATACTTTCTCGCAGATACATTGTGTTATTGTGATTTCATTATGCATAACCCTTAGTTTCTATAGTTCTATAATTGCACCATTGTGATTTTCAGGCTGTATGTAGTCACCAGGCTCGCAGGAGCCATGAACTAAGGCTTGCAGGAGCCATGAACCAAGGCTTGCAGGAGCCATGAACTAAGGCTTGTAGGAGCCATGAACTAGGGCTCGCAGGAGCCATGAACCAAGACTTGCAGGAGCCATGAACTAAGGCTTGTAGGAGCCATGAACTAAGGCTTGCAGGAGCCATGAACTAGGGCTCGCAGGAGCCATGAACCAAGACTTGCAGGAGCCATGAACTAAGGCTTGTAGGAGCCATGAACTAAGGCTTGTAGGAGCCATGAACTAGGGCTCGCAGGAGACATGAACCGTAGTGGTATAAGGTAAGTGAATAGTGTTACACTGGTTTGTTTACACGAGTGACCTTTCCTGCTGAATGTTCTCCCACCTACATCCTTTCTACCTCGTGGTCTGACACTTGACACTTTTACTCATTCATGGTACAAGTGATATCGAGTTTGAGTCTGACGTTCTCGGTAAGAACGCAGAATGTCATAATTTCGTAGTTCAATAGCTGGGAGTGTGGGAGTGAGTGGGCATTATCACCCGCGAATGTCATTATTCAACACACGGTCGCGCCCCACACACTGACGGAACTAACAAACTGTGTTTTAACATTGAGTGTGGCGGCTCTGACCTGGCAGCCCGTCGACGCAGCCTCCTGCCGGAGAACGGGTCCTTCTCCGACTGCTTCCTGTAGGGCCTGTCGCTGTGGTTGTGTCCCCAGGGCGGACGTGCGTCGCTGCTGTGCCCACTCTCGCGGGGCAGCGAGGTCGTGCCCCTCCTGCTGGCTCGTCTCCGTGACTCCCTCCGCGAGCTGGTCCTGTCAAGCAGACACGGGATACCCTTCAACTTGGCGCCAGAGACTTCACCATACAATGTTACCTTTGACGTTGTATGTTTGCTGGGGTTAACACACTCATGTATATCCTAATTTATATAGGCAGATACTTCTGAAATGACAACGTTATCATTGTCTTGGGTAGTTAGTAGGAACATTCGGCATATTGAAGATGCAACGTAGAAATTAACATCTCTCTTTCTGGAATAAGTGTTTCGATTTAATTAATACATGTTGGTGATTGATAACTTGTTATTTTTACTATATTATACATAAATGTTCAGCGTATCTTGTCTAGTTTAAAAAAAGTATTTTTTTCTGAGGGTCGTCACACTCACCTGTCAGACGTAGGGTCGTCACACTCACCTGTCAGACGTAGGGTCGTCACACTGGGTGTCACACTCACCTGTCAGACGTAGGGTCGTCACACTGGGTGTCACACTCACCTGTCAGACGTAGGGTCGTCACACTGGGTGTCACACTCACCTGTCAGACGTAGGGTCGTCACACTGGGTGTCACACTCACCTGTCAGACGTAGGGTCGTCACACTGGGTGTCACACTCACCTGTCAGACGTAGGGTCGTCACACTGGGTGTCACACTCACCTGTCAGACGTAGGGTCGTCACACTGGGTGTCACACTCACCTGTCAGACGTAGGGTCGTCACACTGGGTGCCACACTCACCTGTCAGACGTAGGGTCGTCACACTGGGTGCCACACTCACCTGTCAGACGTAGGGTCGTCATACTGGGTGCCACACTCACCTGTCAGACGTAGGGTCGTCACACTGGGTGCCACACTCACCTGTCAGACGTAGGGTCGTCACACTGGGTGCCACACTCACCTGTCAGACGTAGGGTCGTCATACTGGGTGCCACACTCACCTGTCAGACGTAGGGTCGTCATACTGGGTGCCACACTCACCTGTCAGACGTAGGGTCGTCATACTGGGTGCCACACTCACCTGTCAGACGTAGGGTCGTCACACTGGGTGCCACACTCACCTGTCAGACGTAGGGTCGTCATACTGGGTGCCACACTCACCTGTCAGACGTAGGGTCGTCATACTGGGTGCCACACTCACCTGTCAGACGAAGGGTCGTCACACTGGGGTGCCACACTCACCTGTCTGACGTAGGGTCGTCATACTGGGTGCCACACTCACCTGTCAGACGAAGGGTCGTCACACTGGGTGCCACACTCACCTGTCAGACGTAGGGTCGTCACACTGGGTGCCACACTCACCTGTCAGACGTAGGGTCGTTACACTGGGTGCCACACTCACCTGTCAGACGTAGGGTCGTCACACTGGGTGCCACACTCACCTGTCAGACGTAGGGTCGTCATACTGGGTGCCACACTCACCTGTCAGACGTAGGGTCGTCATACTGGGTGCCACACTCACCTGTCAGACGAAGGGTCGTCACACTGGGTGCCACACTCACCTGTCAGACGTAGGGTCGTCACACTGGGGTGCCACACTCACCTGTCAGACGAAGGGTCGTCACACTGGGTGCCACACTCACCTGTCAGACGTAGGGTCGTCACACTGGGTGCCACACTCACCTGTCAGACGAAGGGTCGTCACACTGGGTGCCACACTCACCTGTCAGACGAAGGGTCGTCATACTGGGTGCCACACTCACCTGTCAGACGTAGGGTCGTCATACTGGGTGCCACACTCACCTGTCAGACGTAGGGTCGTCATACTGGGTGCCACACTCACCTGTCAGACGTAGGGACGTCATACTGGGTGCCACACTCACCTGTCAGACGTAGGGTCGTCATACTGGGTGCCACACTCACCTGTCAGACGTAGGGTCGTCATACTGGGTGCCACACTCACCTGTCAGACGTAGGGTCGTCATACTGGGTGCCACACTCACCTGTCAGACGTAGGGTCGTCATACTGGGTGCCACACTCACCTGTCAGACGTAGGGTCGTCATACTGGGTGCCACACTCACCTGTCAGACGTAGGGTCGTCATACTGGGTGCCACACTCCCGGGAGGGGACGCCCCGGTACTTGGTTGGGGTGAGGACCCGGTTAGTGATGTAGTCTCCGTCGTTGTCGTACTGCTGGCCAGGCACCTCTCGCTGCCCTGAACAAATACACGTTGGCACTTACAAACAAAACATGGTTTAAAACATACACAAGGCAACAAAATAGGACAAACAGCGACAAGTAAACGCTGCAATTAGGTCGTGTGTTTGTTGGGATAATTATTTTTGTGGATATATTTTCCAATTTGACTTTTACCAGGAGAGAAATTTTTTCATGAAATGAACTCACGAAGGAATAATGAGTTTGTTTTGAGTCATGAATCATGGAGGCTGACTTGTGTGGGGTATAGTCAGGTGTGGGGTGTAGTCAGGTGTGGGGAGTAGTGCAGGCAGGTATGGAGAGAAGTGCCGCCAGGTGTGGGCAGTAGTGGAGCCAGGTGTGAGCAGCGGTGTTAACAGGTGTGTGTGAAGCGGCATAGTCAGCTGCAGGAAGCACTGTGGTTAGGTGTTTGGGGCTGTGATATCAGGAGTCGACGACAGGTTAGTCAGGTATGTGATATCAGGAGTCGACGACAGGCTAGTCAGGTATGTGATAACAGGCTAGTCAGGTATGTGATATCAGGAGTCTACAACAGGTTACTCAGGTATGTGATATCAGGAGTCGACGACAGGCTAGTCAGGTATGCAAAACAGTGCAACTAGGTGTGTGCAGCTATGCCATTAGCAGATGTGTAGTGCAACCTAGTAACATGTGGGATGCAGTGCAGCCAGGTGTATGAGTGTCAGCTTTGGAGAAGTGTGAAGTCAGATATGGGGAAGTAAGGCAGGTGTGTGGGAAGGAGCTGTACCGGAGACGGCCTGCAGGAGGGTGAGGAGGGCCCGCCGCCCTGAAGACGACACCAGCGTCTCCGGAGTGAGACCCAGTCCTCGAAGCAGTCTGGCGAGCTCTTCGTAGTCACCGCCCACCTGTGTACGAGAGGCCTTCTTACTGATTGGCTCAGCGGTCACCGGCTAGTCAGTGATTGGCTCAGCGATCACCGGCTAGTCAGTGATTGGCTCAGCGATCACCTTCTAGGCAGTGATTGGCTCAGCTATCACCTTCTAGTCAGTAATTGGCTCAGCGATCACCTTCTAGTCAGTAATTGGCTCAGCGATCACCTTCTAGTCAGTAATTGGCTCAGCGATCACCTGCTAGTCAGTGATTGACTCAGCGATCACCTTCTAGGCAGTGATTGGCTCAGCGATCACCTGCTAATCAGTGATTGGCTCAACAATCACCCACTAGTCAGTGATTGGTTTCTAAGATAACCAAAAAACTTTTGAGCTTTTGACTTTTAATTCATATAATTCAAGTTTACATATTAAAGACAAAATTCTCGATTGAAAATGTCTTTACCATGTTGTAAATGAAAGGCTAACAGGCCTGATGTAGAGTTCTACGTATATATAAGATGAGCGGAGCTGCTGTAGTGTTTTAACAGTGCATAACGTTATCGTTCTCCTCGTTAATGAAAGCCGAGAACTTGGAATATATGTTGAGGAGTGTGATGTATGGCCCCCCACCAGGTCCAGGGGGAGACTTAGAGAGATACAGTCTACAAGTGTGGGGGGATACAGTATACACACTATATGGTATACCTCGCATCTCAGTGTACTTAAGTCCTGTACAGTGTTCAGGACTAAAGTATACTTGCTCTCGGGTCAGTATATGACCTATTGTGTTGTCCCTAAACGTTTCAAAATAAATATTTTGAGCTGGGGGCCAGGCGGCTGACATTCCTGGCATAGTTATCAGCTTTGTGTTTAAACTAGTTGACTCCTCGTGTTTAGGCTTATCGAGGTCACTCCCCCCCCTCCTCCCCTTAGGCTAGCTATTGACCTTTCTCAAGATGCCAACCATAACAGTTGCCTAACTCCCGGGTATCTGTTTACTGCTAAATGAACAGCAGCAGCAATTGCAAGGTAACGTGGCTAACCATTGCTGTCTTGCCTGGGGATTGAAGCAGGGTCCCTTGGATGTGCGCCGGGGACGTAGACTACTCTGCTACAGTACTCAAGTATGATAGTTTACCTTTAATTGTGGTGTTTGTTGTGGTTCCTGTTGAGGGTGCTGCTGCTGCGGCTGCTGACGACCTGACTCCTGGGGATGCAGCTGAGACTGCGCAAGCTGCTGTTCTTGCTGCAGCTCCTCGACAGCAGCGCTGGATGTCTGCTCCTGGTGGGAGAGCTGTCTGCGGGGCTGCTGGCGCGGGGTGGTGGCAGCGCGGGGGGTGTGGGGGACGTCGGCCTCCTCCCGCACCTCCGGCAGCGGCCCACTCTACACCGTCACAAAGTAACACTTGGCGTCACCAGGCGAGTATGTCATACACGGCAGCACGGAAGCATACACTAATATTTGTGTATGTTAATATTCACTTATGGCCATATGAAGTAAGTATAGTATACATATGAAGGAAGGACATTGTATTTGATGTGTAGGACCTGACCCAGGTCAGGGACCTGACCTGGGTCAGACGTGCCCCGGGTCACGCTACAGTGTAGGACCTGACCCAGGGTGACCCCGGGGCACACGACAGTGGAGGACCTGACCCAGGGTGACCCCCGTGGCACGCCACAGTGTAGGACCTGACCCAGGGTGACCCCGGGGCACACCACAGTGTAGGACCTGACCCAGGGTGACCCTGGGGCACGCCACAGTGGAGGACCTGACCAAGGATGACCCCTGGGGGCACGCCACAGTGGAGGACCTGACCCAGGGTGACCCCCGGGGCACACCACAGTGTAGGACCTGACCCAGGGTGACCCCCCGGGGGCACGCCACAGTGTAGGACCTGACCCAGGATGACCCCCGGGGCACACCACAGTGTAGGACCTGACCCAGGGTGACCCCCGGGGGCACGCCACAGTGTAGGACCTGACCCAGGATGACCCCCGGGGGCACGCCACAGTGTAGGACCTGACCCAGGATGACCCCCGGGGCACGCCACAGTGTAGGACCTGACCCAGGGTGACCCCCGGGGCACGCCACAGTGTAGGACCTGACCCAGGATGACCCCCGGGGGCATGCCACAGTGTAGGACCTGACCCACAAGGAACACCAAGTCACTCACCGAAGACAAGGAGCGGACGTGGCCAAACTTGGTGGCCGTCTTCTCCTTCCTAGCTCTCTCTGACGCCTCCTTGATGGCTGAGCGGAGCTGCTGCTGCCGCCTCTCCTCAGCCTCCTGCACCAACACAATCACATATGTAATACACCTTTAATTAAGGCGTCCCCTTCTCCCACAACACCTTTACACAGGTGTAAACTGAACGTTATCACGTTCTTCTCAGATCGCTAAAAATATCAAAAACTCACATATCACTAGCCAATCAAGCAATCAGTCATTAAACAAACTATGTAAACAATGATCACTGAATGTAATTGTCAACAACCTTCCTTGGTAGTTACTTGTATACACACACCGAGTGATTTACCGCACTTCTCACTGAATAATCAGATAAGTTTAAGTATCGTGTTGTGGTGGCCTTAATCACCCTCCAGATGAGGTAAGGCTTAAAGCCTAACACCAAACCAAACCAGTTCTTTAATGTAATTACTGATGATAAACCCAGTGGGACCAGACAAGTGTACAGCGTGCTGGCATATGTGTCCACCATGCACCAAGTACTGACCCATGTGTCCACCATGCACCAAGTATTGGCCCATGTGTCCACCATGCACCAAGTACTGACCCATGTGTCCACCATGCACCAAGTACTGACCCATGTGTCCACCATGCACCAAGTACTGGCGCATGTGTCCACTATGCACCAAGTACTGACCCATGTGTCCACTATGCACCAAGTACTGGCACATGTGTCCACTATGCACCAAGTACTGACCCATGTGTCCACTATGCACCAAGTACTGACCCATGTGTCCACCATGCACCAAGTATTGACCCATGTGTCCACCATGTACCAAGTACTGGCACATGTGTCCACTATGCACCAAGTACTGACCCATGTGTCCACCATGCACCAAGTACTGGCACATGTGTCCACTATGCACCAAGTACTGACCCATGTGTCCACTATGCACCAAGTACTGACCCATGTGTCCACCATGCACCAAGTATTGACCCATGTGTCCACCATGCACCAAGTACTGGCACATGTGTCCACTATGCACCAAGTACTGACCCATGTGTCCACCATGCACCAAGTACTGACACATGTGTCCACCATGCACCAAGTATTGACCCATGTGTCCACCATGCACCAAGTACTGGCACATGTGTCCACCATGCACCAAGTACTGGCACATGTGTCCACCATGCACCAAGTACTGGCACATGTATCCACCATGCACCAAGTACTGACACATGTATCCACCATGCACCAAGTACTGACACATGTGTCCACCATGCACCAAGTACTGGCTCATGTGTCCACCTTGCACCAAGTACTGGCATATGTGTCCACCATGCACCAAGTACTGGTACATGTGTCCACCATGCACCAAGTACTGGCACATGTGTCCACCATGCACCAAGTACTGACACATGTGTCCACCATGCACCAAGTACTGACTCATGTGTCCACCATGCACCAAGTACTGACCCATGTGTCCACCATGCACCAAGTACTGATACATGTGTCCACCATGCACCAAGTACTGACACATGTATCCACCATGCACCAAGTACTGACCCATGTGTCCACCATGCACCAAGTACTGACCCATGTGTCCACCATGCACCAAGTACTGATACATGTGTCCACCATGCACCAAGTACTGACACATGTATCCACCATGCACCAAGTACTGACCCATGTGTCCACCTTGCACCAAGTACTGACCCATGTGTCCACCTTGCACCAAGTACTGACCCATGTGTCCACCTTGCACCAAGTACTGACCCATGTGTCCACCATGCACCAAGTACTGACCCATGTGTCCACCTTGCACCAAGTACTGACCCATGTGTCCACCTTGCACCAAGTACTGACCCATGTGTCCACCATGCACCAAGTACTGACCCATGTGTCCACCATGCACCAAGTACTGACCCATGTGTCCACCATGCACCAAGTACTGACACATGTGTCCACCTTGCACCAAGTACTGACCCATGTGTCCACCTTGCACCAAGTACTGACCCATGTGTCCACCTTGCACCAAGTACTGACCCATGTGTCCACCTTGCACCAAGTACTTTACACAACTGGAGACAAAGTGTCAGGTCCAACTGTGAAGTTAGCGACGTATAGTGTCACCACCTTCACTCGTTGTTCTATAATGACCTACGGTCATCTAACCTGTCTTCTGACCATTGCCATATTCAGTCAGGTGTAAGGACATAAAGGAACTCAGATGAGACCTTCCTCCTCCCCCATTATTACCTCCTTTTCACGTTTCTTTCTTATCTCCTCTTGGTATTCTCTTGCTTCCTTCTCCTGTTGTTGCTTGAGGCGCTCCTCCCAGAGGGCCGCTTCTCTCCTCTCTCTCTCCTCCTCCACCGCCTTCTGTCTCTTCTTCTCTTCCAACTGTCGAGAAAAATATCATTGTCATAAACTCTTCAAAAACAAATTGGTTACAGAAAATAGAGTAGCTTGCTATAGACGGGAGTGTGTTAAGATGTTCCCCAGGATGCTACAGCGATAGTTGCCCTTCTCCCCCCCCCTGGCTAGTTTACTGCTAGGTGAACAGAAGCATCAGGTGACAAATCTTGCCCGACTCCCGTGAAGCTTGACGAGTCTGTCAAACTCACCTGCAGCTTGATGACTCTCTGGGTCTCCTCCGCTTGCTTCTTGCGTCTCTCCCTCTCGGCAGCCTCCTCGGGGTTCATCTTACTCATCCCGCCTCCCCGGGCGTACGTCCTGGGGACCAACACATGCGTTAGTGCGCTCCGCTCTGCCCTGTGCTCCTGCAGGCTCCGGGCACGGGCACCAGGCTCCACTGGGGAGGGGCGGGGTGGAGGGGGACGGTCTAGTGGAGGGACCAGGACATTGCTCTCTCACTCTTCTGGCTCTAAAGATTTATTTTTATAAATACACTAACAATATTACCAGGGCCTCGGTACCTGCCTGCCCCTCAGTGGTGCCCGTCAACTAACATTATTACCTGGCCCGGGTACCTGCCCACCCCACAGTGGTCCCCGTCACTCACCTCTGGCCAGGCCTGGGTACCTGCCCACCCCACAGTGGTCCCCGTCACTCACCTCTGGCCAGGCCTGGGTACCTGCCCACCCCTCAGTGGTCCCCGTCACTCACCTCTGGCCAGGCTTGGACATGGGCGCCCCGGGCAAGACACTCTCCTCATCCTGCTCTGCCCAGGCCGGGGGCAGCACATCGCTGCCACGACTCCCCGGCGAGGTTTCGTCACCAGGTGCCCAGAGGTGCCCCACGCCCACGCCCCGGTCCCCCCAGCGTGCCCGGCCGGCGCTGTGGTCGTCGTAGGGTGGCGTGCCCAGGGTCGTCTGGTGAAGGGGGCGGTGGTGCTCGGGGGACGCCGACCACCGCTCAGACCAGCTCGCTGACGCTGGCATCGAGTCCATGCCCTGTAAGGTGAAGGTATACCTCGGTTACCACAGCTGGGTGTAAACCCCAGTACCCACATGATCACCATGACACGCCTGTGGACCATGACACACCTGTGGCCCATGACACACCTATGGCCCATGACACACCTGTGGCCCATGACACACCTGTGGCCCATGACACACCTGTGGCCCATGACACACCTGTGGCCCATGACACACCTGTGGCCCATGACACACCTGTGGCCCATGACACACCTGTGGCCCATGACACACCTGTGGACCATGACACACCTGTGGCCCATGACACACCTGTGGCCCATGACACACCTATGGCCCATGACACACCTGTGGACCATGACACACCTGTGGCCCATGACACACCTGTGGCCCATGACACACCTATGGCCCATGACACACCTATGGCCCATGACACACCTGTGGACCATGACACACCTGTGTCATGGGCTATGACATGGACTAAATATGAATACAGATTTAGGCTCTTTAGTCGGTTCCAGTAGTTTAGATGTTTTACTGAGTGGATTCTAGCAGTAAAGGATCTCTGCACGCTCTCCAGGTCAGCAATATCTGCAACTGTGCAAGTGGCCGTCATTGTGTAGCAGTACTCCGCCCTAGAGAGCACCGGTACACACATGTCAACATGTAATATAATATGTTGGCAATGTAATACCTACACTTGCTCCAGCCTTGCCTACTTCTCCACCACCAACTATATCCAGCTTTATCCGCCCCCGTGCACCACTATCCAGCTTTATCCGCCCCTGTGCACCACTACCCAGCTTTATCCATCACCTACTCTGCTTTATCCTGCCCTGCATCACCCTTATCCACCGCCATGCACCAGTTAGCTAGAATTTCCCAGCGGCACAGCACCTACCCTGGGGCGCTGCTGATGGGCAGTGTCCGGCAGCTCGTAGATGGTGACGCCGCCGCCACCACCGCCGCTCCCGGAGCTGGGGTTATAGGGGATGTTCTTGAGCAGCTCCTGGAGGAAGGCGCCCCCAGGCTGGCCCTGAGGGGCGGCCCCACCTGGAGAGGGCATCACCACGTACACCGGTGTCCCGCCATACCCACTCATGCCCACTGGAAGCTGCTGCAACACAATTTTGCATATGGCGTTACATGCGCAACGGATACGACTCTATTCATTTTGCAAATAAACAAACCCAATGACTCGCTTGAATTTTAAGAGTCGAACTAAATGATTTTATTTGTGTTTAATTACGAAGATGAGAGCTTGGTATTTTCAGGGGTAATAACACCTTATTCACATGGTGCATGATAAATATTTCGTGGGTACCCCTTTTCTTTGGGTACCCCCTATGCTCTGGTACCTTTCGTGGGTACCCCTATGTCTTCCTGTGCTCAGAATTCCCAGCCGTTACTTTCTCACGCACACAAATAAAGGATGTTAAATATTATGAGTTTGTGAACACTTAGACCCAGATTAAGGTAGGTTAAGTTAGGTTGTTATATTTTCTTAGATTAAGTTAGATTATTATATTTTAAGTTAGGGTATTATATTTTAAGTTAGGCTCGGCCGACATTGGTATATCCAGCTCCCGGCCTCCCAAAACAAGTTCAATAATTATAATATATTGGGTAATTAACATCTGCATTTTCTCATCAATTAAAATATTATATATTAGAATTTTGCGCCTTATTTATCATAAATTAGGCTAGATTAGGTGTTTAGGTTAGATGTTAAGGTTATGTTAGGAGTTTAGGTTAGGTTAGATTTAGGTTAGATGACGGTAGGTTAGGTTAGATGTTTAAGTTAGGTTAGATTAGGTATTAAGGTAGGTTAGGTTAGATGTTTAGATTAGGTTAGGTTTTAAGTTTATGTGCTATGTTGGGTGTTTATATTAGGTTAGGTTATATTGGTAATTATTTGCTAACAAAGGTGTTTCAAATACAGGAATAGAACAAAACACTGTTTTAGAAACAGTGTTACCTTCAAGTTACCCATCCTTGGGTTGGGTAACATGGGAGTCTACCACCACCAGATGTGGCTTGCTGAAGGTCACCATGACGACCTTTAGGACAAGGGGTGAGACACTAGAGGGGTGAGACATGTCCCCTGCTCTCTACCCGCCCCCCACTAGAGGGGTGAGACATGTCCCCTACTCTCTACCCCCCCCCCACTAGAGGAGTGAGACATGTCCCCTACTCTCTACCCGCCCCCACTAGAGGGGTGAGACATGTCCCCTACTCTCTACCCGCCCCCCACTAGAGGAGTGAGACATGTCCCTCACTCCCACTGTGAGGAAGGTAACCTCCCACCACAAAGTGCTGAGGAGACTACCATGGGAGGACCCAGCAGGTACTCACCTGCATGGGTGTGAAGACAGGGGTGGGCAGAGCGGAGCCGGGGTGGGCGGCGGTGTTGGCGGGGGGAGCGCCGCCCCCTACACCACCTGCACTGTACGCCGCCACAGCCTACAAGGGCAGAGAGAGACCACAGTTACTGTTTTAGGCCGAGAGTGGCCATCACAATGGGGGATTAATAGATTAATAGGCAAGAGAGAGAGAGAGAGAGAGAGAGAGAGAGAGAGAGAGAGAGAGAGAGAGAGAGAGAGAGAGAGAGAGAATATCATGAATTCAGTCACATATTCAGCTTGTCATTCACCAGCGTGTCATGACACGAGAAGCGGCTAGCTGTATGCACAGCCCGGCCGCTGCAGCGTTCACAGCATCACTAAACTGATGCACCAAATTACCCGACCCTAACCTAACCCAGGACCCACCAATAGAAAACATCACGTCAATTTTGCGAACCCTGCTGGCCTTGCCTCACCTGCTGGTTCTGGAGGCTGGCCTGCTGCTGCTGCTGCTGCTGATACAGCTGCTGCCGCTGTTGTAGCTGCTGCTGCTGCTGCTCGTGCTGATATGCTTGTTGTTGGAGCTGTAACTGTTGAGGCTGCTGCTGCTGCGGTTCCTGCTGATGCTGCTGATATATTTGCTGCTGCTCCTGCTGATGCTGCTGATATGATATTTGTTGCTGATATTGTGGCCGATGGGGTTGTTGTTGTGGGTGGTCAGGGGGCTTGTCTGTGGGCGGGGTGGGCCGCTGCTCCTCGGAGGGGTGGGCTCGGCCCCAGAACCCACACCCACCGTTTAGGAAGGCTGAGGGAGAGAGAGAGAGAGAGAGAGTGGGGCTCAGGTTAGCCATGAAATGGATTGGTTGATTTATCAACACATTGCTTTTGATTATTGCCGCCCAGAGAATCATCAATTATTATTTGAATGCTCATCATTCACATCTGTATTGTTATCATAGTCACCCTCCCTCCCCCCCCCCTATATCCGTCATTACCTCCATAGATATGATAATTATCGTCTCCACCATAACTATACTTATCTGCAGGTGGACTGAAAGTGGACTTGTATATTGGACGTTCACTGAAGCTGGACTTTGTACTTGGACGTATGAAAGGGGGAACTGTGGCAGGTGGGTCAGGGACCAGAGAGGGGGAGGGCAGACGGGAAAATACAATGTCTTGCCTTGGTTACAAGTGAGAGGGGCGTCCCTGGCGCCCCTCTCACGTCCCTGGCTCCGGGAATGATCTTTTTCAAGATTCAGAGCAATCTTAACAAAGTAATTTGGCTGTTTCATTCATCATCTTAAGATTACTTGTAAGATGTAAGAAACTTTTCACAACGATGGTGTTCACATACATTATCCAATATATATATATATATACTGTAAATATTGCTGTATATATATATATCCAGACTATAGAGCACAGGAACAAGTGATTGATGATTGATAAAGATTAAGCCACCCAAGAGGTGGCACGGGCATGAATAGCCCGTAAGAGGAACAAGTGCTAGCACTCATTCTTTTATAGTTTCTCATAAGTGAGGTGGTGCTAGAGCATTGGCACTTGACCGCGCTTCAGGACAATGGTGGTGTGAGTCCCCAGCGCTGTCTCACAAGACTCATCACCTCACTGATTCATCACCTACTCATCACGGCTCTCTACCGACTTCCCTCTGTGGGTTCCAGCAGTCTTGACAGTGTCACAGTACTGGTGAGACAGCAGGCAGGCTGGGCGAGTAGGTAGGTTCCCCAGCCTGCCAGGTCCTGTTTCCCAGGGGTAAGGGCAGCGCACCACCATCACTACCCCCTGGTCCCAGGGGCAGGGCAGGTACGGGGGAGTAAACCAGGGGGCCCCAGGGGGCGCAGGCCCCCCTGGCGGGTGTAGACGAGGCGCCCATTGATCGCTCCCCGGGGCGAAGAAGTGCAACAAATACATGGGTTTATCTGTCCGGTCTGTGTTCCACTGTTGCACGCCACACCATGTCAGCCGTGACCCAGGCCACACCATGTCAGCCGTGACCCAGGCCACACCATGCCAGCTGTGACCCAGGCCACACCATGCCAGCCGTGACCCAGGCCACACCATGCCAGCCGTGACCCAGGCCACACCATGTCAGCCGTGACCCAGGCCACACCATGCCAGCCGTGACCCAGGCCACACCATGCCAGCCGTGACCCAGGCCACACCATGCCAGCCGTGACCCAGGCCACACTATGCCAGCCGTGACCCAGGCCACACCATGCCAGCCGTGACCCAGGCCACACCGTGCCAGCCGTGACCCAGGCCACACCATGCCAGCCGTGACCCAGGCCACACCATGCCAGCCGTGACCCAGGCCACACTATGCCTGCCGTGACCCAGGCCACACCATGCCAGCCGTGACCCAGGCCACACCGTGCCAGCCGTGACCCAGGCCACACCATGCCAGCCGTGACCCAGGCCACACCATGCCAGCCGTGACCCAGGCCACACCATGTCAGCCGTGACCCAGGCCACACCATGCCAGCCGTGACCCAGGCCACACCATGCCAGCCGTGACCCAGGCCACACCATGTCAGCCGTGACCCAGGCCACACCATGTCAGCTGTGACCCAGGCCACACCATGTCAGCTGTGACCCAGGCCACACCATGCCAGCCGTGACCCAGGCCACACCGTGCCAGCCGTGACCCAGGCCACACCATGCCAGCCGTGACCCAGGCCACACCATGCCAGCTGTGACCCAGGCCACACTATGCCAGCTGTGACCCAGGCCACACCATGCCAGCCGTGACCCAGGCCACACCATGCCAGCTGTGACCCAGGCCACACCATGCCAGCCGTGACCCAGGCCACACCATGCCAGCCGTGACCCAGGCCACACTATGCCAGCCGTGACCCAGGCCACACCATGCCACCGTGACCCAGGCCACACCATGCCAGCCGTGACCCAGGCCACACCATGTCAGCTGTGACCCAGGCCACACCATGTCAGCTGTGACCCAGGCCACACCATGCCAGCCGTGACCCAGGCCACACTATGCCAGCCGTGACCCAGGCCACACCATGCCAGCCGTGACCCAGGCCACACCATGCCAGCCGTGACCCAGGCCACACCATGTCAGCTGTGACCCAGGCCACACCATGCCAGCTGTGACCCAGGCCACACCGTGCCAGCCGTGACCCAGGCCACACCATGACAAGCCGTGACCCAGGCCACACCATGCCAGCTGTGACCCAGGCCACACCATGTCAGCCGTGACCCAGCCACACCATGCCAGCTGTGACCCAGGCCACACCGTGCCAGCCGTGACCCAGGCCACACCATGCCAGCTGTGACCCAGGCCACACCATGCCAGCTGTGACCCAGGCCACACCGTGCCAGCCGTGACCCAGGCCACACCATGCCAGCCGTGACCCAGGCCACACCATGCCAGCCGTGACCCAGGCCACACTATGCCAGCCGTGACCCAAGCCACACCATGCCAGCCGTGACCCAGGCCACACCATGCCAGCCGTGACCCAGGCCACACTATGCCAGCCGTGACCCAGGCCACACCATGTCAGCCGTGACCCAAGCCACACCATGCCAGCCGTGACCCAGGCCACACCATGCCAGCCGTGACCCAGGCCACACTATGCCAGCCGTGACCCAGGCCACACCATGCCAGCCGTGACCCAGGCCACACCATACCAGCCGTGACCCAGGCCACACCGTGCCAGCTGTGACCCAGGCCACACCATACCAGCCGTGACCCAAGCCACACCACGCCAGCCGTGACCCCTGATGTGGGCCAGGGTCACGGGTCATGTGGGGAGAATGATAGGAATGTGTGACAATCAATGCGACACACACACCAGGAAGGAGCCACACTACACCAACAGGAGTGGCACTGACGGCACTCTGAGATGGAAGCTGCCATACGGCTGCAGTATATCACCGACCAGTACTAGAGTACGCACCACCGGCCTGGAACCCCGTCTCAAAACACTGGTAAAGATGATTGACGAAGTATAGTTCGTAACCTCCTCAAGCCCACCTCAAGCCTCGGTAAACAAAGCAAGTGAACTTGGCACCAATGGTGTGGCACTCCTTACAGGTCAGTGCCACCGCTGGGGTTGTTACGACCCCCCCCCCCACAGGTGTGTGTGGGGGGGGGGGCTATTTTAAGGTGTGGTGTAAGTGGACGCTGCCTCGCCAGAGGGGGGCACTGACCCCCCGGCTCTGGCCCCGTGAGGAGGTGGCACTCTGATACGATGAGTGCCACCTGGCGTCCCAACACCCCACCTCAACCCCATAGAGCCTGGCTCTATGTTTCTCCATGTTTGGGGAGTTATCTTGAGATGATTTCGGGGCTTTAGTGTCCCCGCGGCCCGGTCCTCGACCACGCCTCCACCCCCAGGAAGCAGCCCGTGACAGCTGACTAACATCCAGGTACCTATTTTACTACTAGGTAACAGGGGCATAGGGTGAAAGAAACTCTGCCCATTGTTTCTCGCCGGCGCCTGGGATCGAACCCAGGACAACAGGATCACAAATCCAGCGTGCTGTCCGCTCGGCCGACCGGCTCCCTGATGAGCCGGTGATGGGGTAATGAGTGGTGATGACTGTGCTCGTGTGGTGATGAGTGTGGTGGTGGTGAGTGGTGATGACTAAGGAGGTAACATGGCGGAAGTCACAGCTCTCTGAGAGTACCCAATTATCTTGAGTCAATATATTGGCTCGCCTGGACAAGGGTGATGACCACAACATGGCATTGCATTTTTAACACGACAAAAGGAAAGAATTAATATATTGTATCAAGTAGGGAGAATTATCAAGGAAATAATAAAACAAGGAAACAGATGACGAAGGATAAATACATAACAAAACTCAAGAACACAGACGGGAAGAAAAAAACACCCATTATTCTCACCCACACTAAGAACATCCATCGTAGAACATCCACCAGAACATCCATCACCATCAATAATACTAACATCCATCACCTTTGTGAGTCAATACAGTCTTATCAACAGAGGTGAAGATATCTTAATGTAGTTCAACTTGGTCCTTGTTGCGTGTTAACAATGTGGCAGTGTCTGGGTCATCATGATGGGTTACCTCTGCCTCACATGGTATCCATACAAAAAAGATTCCAAACCAAGGGGGAGCCGGTCGGCCGAGCGGACAGCACACTGGACTTGTGATCCTGTGGTCCCGGGTTCGATCCCGGGCGCCGGCGAGAAAAAATGGGCAGAGTTTCTTTCACCCTATGCCCCTGTTACCTAGCAGTAAAATAGGTACCTGGGTGTTAAGTCAGCTGTCACGGGCTGCTTCCTGGGGGTGGAGGCCTGGTCAAGGACCGGCCGCGGGGACACTAAAGACCCGAAATCATCTCAAGATAACCTCAAGATAAGATAACCCTTCATTCCGTGCAGCGAGGAGCAGGTTATTTATAACTACTATTATGAGGCTCTTGCTGTCGATCTTGCCAGAGAAGTTTTCAAGTGCTTGAAGAACAGACTTTGAATCACATAAAGTTATACCTCCTCTAGTGGCTGTTTATCATATTTAGAGTACTGGTAGGTAAGTGTAGTGCAACTAGTTTGTGTAGAGTTCACCCGGTCTGTGTGCTTGTATTATTTTTAACAA